CCCACAGGGTGGCTGCAAACCATCCTTAACTCCAGTTCCAGGGGAATCCGAAGCCCTCTTCTGACCTCTGAGGCATTGCACAACATAGGTGCACTCACATACATGCAGGCAATACCCTCATAACACATAAAATAAAAATAAATAAAATATTTAAAGAAAAATTGCGGATGTAGCACAGTTGGTAGACTGTTTGCCTTGCATGTTGGCGTTCCTAGATTTGATTCCTCAGCACCACAAAAATTAAGCAAAGCTTAGATGCCAATCACTACTAGTAACCAGAGCTTACTTGCAACAGACACTGTGCCAAGATGTTCATGTCCATCAGCTCATTTAACTTTCATAGCAACTCTAATCTCAACTCTTTAGCACAGAGGTTAGGTTGCTTGTCTAAGTTCACATAAGTTTGCCTGTGATAGAACCAAGACTTAAGAGCTGAGCAAGTGTCTCAAGACTATTTGTGCTAGAAATATGTCCTAAAGCTTTGTGACAAAAGCTTTTATGTGTGATTTTAAAAAATGTTTATTGCTGCTGGGTATGGTGGCCCACACCCTTAATCCCAGCACTCTGGAGGCAAGAGGTAGGCGGATCTCTGAGTTCAAGGTCAGCCTGGTCTACATAGTGAGTTCCAGGCCAGCTGGGGCTATAGGGAGATCCTGTCTCAAAAAAAAGACCAAAAAACCCAAATGTTTATTTAATTTTTGGGTGGTACTGGGGATTGGGTAGTATTGAAACCAAGTCCCTTCTGACCTCCACAGGCACTACAAACACATGGCAGATTTACATACATGCAGGTAAAACACACATAAAATAAAAATAATGGGGCTAGAGAGATGGCTCAGCAGTTAAGAACACTGACTGTTCTTGCAGAAGACCTGGTTTGAATCCCAGCACCCACATGGCAGCTGACAACTGTCTGTAACTCCAGTTACAGGGGATCCAACAGCTTCTTCTATCCTCTGTGGGCCTTGCACAACATGGGCGCACTTACCTACATGCAGGCATAATACTCATATACATAAAATAAAATAAAAATAATAAATTAAAAAAAAATTTTTTTTTAATTAAAAAAGGGCGGGGACCTTTTTAAAGGGGGAGGCTCAGAAGATGGTTCAGTCTTTAAAGTGCTTGCTATGTAAGTATGAGGATCTGAATTTGTATCCCAACATCCATATAAAAAGCTGAGCATGGCCTGTAATCCCAGCACTGTGAAGGCAAAGACTGGAGGATCCCTAGGGCCTGCTGGCTAGCCAGACTACCCAAATCAGTAAGCGCCAGCTTCAGAGAAAAGTGGTACACACAATTGAGCATAAAATCAAAGAGCTGGGCATAATGGTAGTGTGCCTGCCCAGCATCCATGAGGTCCTAGGTTCAATCCCCAGTACTGAAATAAAAGTAAAATTGTGTTTATGAGTTTTTTTGAGTGTAAGAGCCAAAGTATCCAGTATTAAAGCTAACATTTAAGTTTTCCATTTACACAAAACACCGTCCAGGCATTATTGTGCTGATAACAATGCCATTAGGTAGTATTATTGCTCCCCACCTTTTTGTGACACTGGCGACTGAACCAAGAGCTTTGCACACGGTAGGCAAGTGCTCCATCGAGCTACATTATCCAGCCCTTGTTTTTTTGAGAGGATATCCTGCATCTCATAATCTTCCTGCCTCAGCCTCCCAAGTGCTAGCATTACAATTGTGTGCCACCATGCCTGACACAGCCCCATGCTTTTAATCACTGGATTGCTTGGCGACTCAGCAAGTACACAGGTCAAATGTGAGAGAGCTGTTTCTGGTTTAGCCTTGTGGCACTGACTTCCATCAGTCCTGTCCCATTACCTTTGCCACCAGTTGATAGAGGACCACTAGGATCTGCAGGGAGGCTGCTGTCTGCTGGAGACACCGCACAGCCGGGGTTGACCCCTTTGTGAGCACCTCCTTCCACAGGGACAGGGCTTGGTCCAGGCATTTGGACTGAGCTGCAAATCAGAAGGAAGTGACCACTTTTTCCACATGGCCACCTGGAAAGAGCTTGGCTTTCTCAATAACATGCTCTGCCCTTTGTGCCAGCCTCCCCAACCCCCAATTTCTCCTACCACAAGTCCAGCCTCTTTCATACTTGGAGGTATCTGTTTCGGATCAGATGAGTATGGAACATGTTCACTGCCCTCACCTGCATCTGCAGCCAAGTTGCAGGCAATGTTACTATACAGAAAACGGTCCTCCTGGAGTTTATCTTCATAGTTCAGGTCATTGACTTCAAATTCCTCTAAGTTACTAGGGGCCTGAGCTCTCCGATCCCGCTCAATACCCTAGATGGGGAAGAGGAGGGATCAAAAGAAAAAACCATGGTGGTGCTAGCTTAGTGGGAACAGTCCAGGGAAATGCCTGATCTATACCCATGGTGGTGCTAGCTTAGTGGGAACCACTCACTTCCTGCAGTTTGGCCTCCAAGGTACAGACGTAGAACCACAGCAAGGCCTGCGCTTTATCATCCAGAAGGCAATCCTGTTCCTGTGTCTCAGGCTTCACAGACTCCAGAAGCTGCAGGGCTTCCTGGATGGCATCCAGGGCAGAGCTGCAGGGATAAATGTACTTAAGTGAGGCCCATTATTGAGTACCAATCACAGGGCCCTGGGAGGGGCCCACTGTAGACAGCTGGTCACACTTGAGTAAGTTTCAGTGGCCAGAAAACGAAGGGGCAAGCAGCAACATAGAGTAGAAAACTGACCCCCAAACAGTAACACTAGGGCAAGGAGCAGGAGTGGCCTCCCTCCTTATTATTCCTCCTCACCAGTCAGCCTGCTGGACAAAGTTGTGGTAGCACAGCACCTGAGCCAGTTCCACCAGGTGGGTAGCTCGTGCCCAGGCTCCGGCTGGGGTCTCCTCAGGGCTCAGCTCCAACAGGTCACAGATGACATTGAAGCGTTCCTGCCCGGTGTCAGCCCGTACAGCCTTATATGCCCGCAGCTCCTCCCTCAGCAGCAACACCTGTGTCTCTGGATCCCAGCCATTCAGGCTATCTCGCAAAGTCCTGAGAGAAGGGAGATTCAGCACCAGGATAGAGACCTTGAAGATGGAGTCTCTGCCCCTTTGGCTTTGTCAAGCCAGTTCCCATTCCCAAGGTTGCTCTCACCCTGGACCTTTCTATTTAGCATTTCCTCTGTAAGGAGTGCTCCTCAAGATATTTAAGTGATGGATTCCTCTTTATCTTCAGATCTTACATACATTACTTCTCCAAAAAGGGCTTGCCTAATAACCGATCTAAAGTTTATCCCTCTTGGGGGCTGGAGAGATGGTTCAGCAGTTTAGAGCATTTGCTGTTCTGCCAGAGGACATGAGTTCAGTTCCCAGCACCCAGAACTGCCTGTAACTCCTGCTGCAGGGGATCCAATGCCTTCTGGCCTCTGCAGGCACCCACACACATATACATAAATAAATGTGACATACACTCTCATAGATACGTATACATAATAAAAACAAAACAAAGTTCATCCTTCTTTTAACAAGTCATGGTTTATCTCAATAAAAGGAAGATATACTGAACAAAAACAAGAATATTGCTTGTCACCACTATGTTCCAGGTACCTAGGTACATAGTGGCTGGCATGAAGTAGGCACTCGATGCATACTGATGAAGGAATCATTGCCTTTCTCAAAATTAAAAGCTGAGAGACATGGGGACAGAATGGATACATGGGCAGACATGGTCACCCTCCTCCTCTCAAACTTACTTTAGCTGTAGCTGCTTGTCTCCAGCCCGGGCTGCATCCATTTTGACCCGAACCCAGAAAGTGACTGGTTCGGCCATGTGTTCAGGGCTATAGGGTTGCAGAGCTTCCAGCCATAAGGTCACCATCTTGCAGCCCTGGGCCTGTTTACCCAGTTTCTTCAAACTCTCCACATGTATCCGGAAGCACCTGTGCAGCTAACCAGAGACAGGGAAGAGATGGAGCTGGAACAGAGGGGCAGTGAGGGCACACGGCACAACAGTAGAGCGAACGTGCACAGCACGTCCCCACGTGGAGGGGACCAGCAGGTAGTCCTCCTGCCTCTCTGCATTCCCGAGAACTAAGTCCCCTGGCACTCTCCACCTCAGCGGCTCCCATCCACCCAGCCCTCATGGTCAACATCCACACCCTAAGGACCTGCTTCTCCTTGGGTGACCTTTTCCTCAGCAAATAGCACTGTCTAATCTACAGAGATACAGGGCTACTCTCGCCTCTTCCTTCTCTTCCTCCCTATCGGCTGGTCACTTATCAGTGACCAGAAGCCTTGACTTCTTGCACCCAGTCACTTCTTTTAGCTCTTGGCACAGCTAGTTCAGTTCAGCCCACCCTTCCCTGCCTGGGCTGCACAGTCTCATTAACCTAGGCTTGTCCCTTGCACTGTTTGCCAAAGTGATGCCAAAGCAATTCAAATGTCGACCTGATGTTATGACTCCATTTACATCCTTCAGAGACTCATCACTTACTTGAGATGAAGTCCAAGGCCCTGTACCGCCCATGTCACTTGTCAATCCAGCCAACCCAACATTTCAAAGGTATTCTTGCTTAAGACATTGTTTTTGACTCTGGTTGTGCAAGGACCACCTTGGGGTTGGGGAGACTAAGCTCTGGGGCAAGAGTCTGAAGTAACTAACTTGAGGCAGGCATGAGAACAGAATGTCTCTGAAGTTCACTCAGATGATTCTAACGTCAAACTAGGTTTGGAAGCACTGGCTTAGGAGGGAGGCCAAACGCAAAGAGCATGTCATTCTAAAGAAAAAGATTAGAGGGGCTGGAGAGATGGCTCAGTGGTTACGAGCACTAGCTGCTCTTGTAGAGGACCCAGGTTCAGTTCCCGGCACCCATATGGCAGCTAAGAATTGTCTGTAACTCCAGTTCCAGGGGATCTGATGCTGTCTTCTGACTCCATGGGCATTACATGAGACATGGGTGAGCTTATATACATGCAGGCAATACACTCATATACATAAAATAAATAAAATATTAAAAAGAAAGAAAAAGATTAGACTGGGTATAATGACACACACCTTTAATCCTAGCACTCCAGAGATAGAGGCAGGCAGATTTCTGGGAGACCAGCTAGGCTGGTTTACATAGGGGGTTCCAGGCCAGCCAGGACTGCAGAGTGAGACCCTGCCTCGTATAAATAAAGATTAGGTAAAACAGGGGCCAGGGGTGATGGCGCACGCCTTTAATCCCAGCACTCGGGAGGCAGAGGTAGGTGGATATCTGAGAGATCTGAGAGTTTGAGGCCAGCCTGATCTACATAGAGAGTTCCAGGCCAGCTGGGGTTACAGGGAGACCCTGTCTAAAAAGATCAAAAAAAAAAAAAAAGATTAACAGTATAGGTGAGGTTTGGGAAATACTGCCCAGGTACTGATACTGACCCCACTGTAAGGCAGAACTGTGGCCAGGTCCCTTCATATCACTCATGTCCCCCACCATAAAATCTCCATTCTGCCCCTTTCCTTCCCTCTTACCTTCTCAGGAGGCACCTTAGGACAAGTGTTTGGTTTTGCCAAGCCCAAGTGCTGACAGATTGGCTCCGAGATGGCGCATGCCTCAGCATACAGCTTGTGACTAAAGAAGCTATAGGCCAAGTTACTGGTGTAAGAGGCTGCAGAGAGAGAGGAGACAACTGATCATCAGAATGGGTCCCATTTCCCTGTCCTGCTGAGAAGCTCAACCTGGGGTCAGCTCAGTAGTTTCCAAATAATACTACCAAAGCATTCCAGATCACTAGGGAAAATAAGTGAGCTGCTGCCCACCATTCCTATGAGGTAACCTCATAACAGTGGCCCCTCCACACATCTACAAGTGTCAAGTCCTTACAGACCAGCCTGTTTTCATCATGCTCCAGAGTCAGGATTCTAGGGCCAACATTGGTCTGACTCCTCCTCCTCCTTCCTTCATGCCACTGAAACCACAAGCTTCCCTGTAGTCCTCAAATATCCCAGACTCTCTCTCTCCCCAGCCTCAGGCCTTGGATACTCTGCCAGGGCTGTTCTTTCCCTGGCATCTTCATGGTTAGCAGCCTTATATCCACCTATCTACCAAGTCTTCGCTCATACCACCGTCCCTACAAGGCTGACCCTGACCACCCAATTTAAGTTGATAGTGGACTTCTAGCTCTTTCTAATCCTATTCTCTTTTCCTCTTTTTTTTTTTTTTTTTTTGGTCTTTTTGAGACAGGGTTTCCCTGGAAACCTCAGCTGGCCTGGAACTCACTATGTAGACCAGGCTGGCCTTGAACTCAGAGGCCTGCCTCTGCTTCCCGACTGCTGGGATTAAAGGCATGCACCACCATGCCCCACACTACCTACCATTTTTCTTACCACTTTTTTAAAAAAAACATTATTTATTGTATGTATGTATGTGTTCACATGCCATGATGACACACATGGTCAGAGGATAACTTGAAGGAGTTGGTTCTTTCCATCTACCATGGGAGTTCTGGGAATAGAACTTGGGTCATCAAGCTTGGTGGCAAGTGCCTTTACTAATTGGGCTATCTGGCTGGTCCCTAGGATCTCACTCTATAGCCTAGGCTGGCCTGGAACTTACTATGTAACTCAGGCTGACACTGAACTCTCATGGCAATCCTTCCCAGCCTCATGAGTGTTGAGATTACAGGTGAGCCACACCATGCCCAGCTCTTACCTTTGTTTGTTTGTTCTAACAAGTTCTAACTGTAGCCCCAGCTGGCCTGGAACTCACTATGTAGAGCAGGCTGGCCTCAATTTCATATAGATCTGCCTGCCTCTGCCTCTGGAGTGCTGGGATTAGAAACATGCACCACCATGTCTGGCTTCTTACCATTTTTTAACATGTTGATAATTCAATTATTGAGTTATCTTCTCCCAGAACTAGAGTGTGGTTCCATGATGGACAGAACTTTGTTTCTTTTACTGACATATCCAATAGTGCAATTTTGCTACATAAATAAATCCAAAGTTATATATGCAGTTTCTCTTGGGGGGAGGGTTAGTGCTAAGGCTCAAACCCAGACCCTTGCACATGCTAGGCAAGTGCTCTACCACTGGGTTACATCCTCAGCCTGATGCAGTTTCTTGGATTTCAACATAGACAGATGGGAGAAAGTAAAGTTAGACTTTATTCATTATTCCCAGGAAGAATTCTCATGCTTGTGTCGTTGTACGGGCCCAGAGCCCCAGCTACTTGGGAGGCAAAGGTGAGAGGAACACTTGAGTCTACAAGATGAAGACTAGCCTGGGCAGTGGAGTGAGGCCTCATCTTGAATAAAAACCTAGACATGGTGGCTCACAATTATAATCCCAACACTTGGAAGGCTGAGGCAGGAAACTACACAATGACTTCCAGGCCAGCCTGGGCTAAAGTGAGGCTCTGTAGCAAAATAACAAATCAAATAATAATTTTGTGACTCCCTCTATGATAAGGCAAGGTTTGACCACTGAGTGTATGAAATATTCTCTAGAATCTTTCCATGACTGAACTCTTTGGGATCATATGATTTAAACTAAAGAGTCGTGCTTTTTGTAAAATAAGGGAGAGATATACTATGAAGTACAAAGATAGGCAAAGTTATTAGAATTGTGGCTTAAGGCTGGAATCTAGTGAATGGAAGGAGACCCAAGGGGTTTTCTAGCATGAAAGTCAAATTCTCTTATCTTAATGTTGGTTACAAAGTGTGTTAACTTGGGCTGGAGCGATGGCTCAGAGGTTAAGAGCATTGACTGCTCTTGCAGAGGTCCTGGGTTCCATTCCCAGCACCCACATGGTGGCTATTAACCATCTGTAACTCCAGTTCCAGGGGATCCAATGCCCTCTTCTGACCTCCAGGGGCACTACACGACATGGGTGCACCTACCTACATGCAAGCAATACACCCATACATATTATAGAAAAATAAAAAAAATAAGCCAGGTGTGGTGGCACATGCCTTTAATCCCAGCACTCAGGAGGCAGAGGCAGGCAAATCTCTGAGTTTAAGGCCAGCCTGGTCTATATAGTGAGTTCCAGGTCAGCATGGGCTAGAGGGAGACCCTGTCTCAAAAAGATCAAAAAAATTAAACTTTTTAAAAAAGTGTGCTAACTTTATAAAAATTCATTAGACTATTTATTTATGACTTAAGCACTTTCCTGTGTATAGTTAAATAAAAAAGGTCTCAAAAAAGCACATACCTATGTTGGTTCATACATATACCAAATATTTTCAGAGGGACATACAAGAAATTGATACTAGCTGCCTCTAGAAGGGGAAACAGGTGATCAAGAATGGAAGAACTTTTTACTGTATGACCTTTTTCTTTTCTTCAGTACTAGAGAGGAAATCCAAGACCTTGTACATATCAAGCAATGCTCTATCACAGGGCTACACTCCCAGCCTGAGATTCTTGTTCATCTTTTTTGGGTCTTTTTAAGACAGGGTCTCCTGGTAGCCCCAGCTAGCCTGAACTCACTGTGTAGACCAGGCTGGCCTTGATCTCATAGAGATCTGCCTGCCTCTGTCTCCCAAGTGCTGGGATTAAAGGGGTGCGGTACTATACCCAGCCCGAGATTCTTCTTCTAAGACAAAGCTATATAGCAAAGGTTGACTTCCAACTTCAAACTTGTGGCCTCAAACTTGTGATCCTCTTGCCATAGCCACCCCAGCTCTAAGACCACAGGCATGGGCTACCATACCAGGCTTCTGTATAATCTTTTGAACAACTTTAACTTTGAACCATGTGAATAGTTTACCTGGCTTTTAAAAGTTTAAGTTAGAAACATCCTTTTTTTTTCGGTCTTTTTGAGACAGGGTCTCCCTGTAGCCCCAGCTGTCCTGGAACTCACTATGTAGACCAGGCTGGCCTTGAACTCACAGAGATCCGCCTGCCTCTGCCTCCCAAGTGCTGGGATTAAAGGCGTGCACTACCACGCCCGACCCGGGCACAAACATTTTTATGAAACAAATACCAAAATCAACCTGCAAAGCAAGCTAGGTATGGTGGTGTACACCTTTAGTCTGAGCACTAGGGAGGAAAAGGCAGATAGACCTCTGTGAGACTGAGGCCAGCCTGGTCTAAGTAGCAAGCTCTAGGCCAATCAGGGCTACATACTGAGACCTATCTCAAAAAACAAACAACAAAAAACCCCCAAAACACTCTGCAAAGTAAAACCAGAAAACAAAAACAATCAGTGCCTGCTGTAATAAGCCCCATCACTTCTCTCCTGTGTTAAGTAAAACAACTGATCCTTATAAACAGTTCTTTCAGCTGGGTGTGGTGACACTCGCCTTTAATCCCAGCAGTCTGGAGGCAGAAGCAGGCAATTTATATGAGATTTACAGTAAGTTCCAGGTCAGCAGGGCCAACATAGTAAGACCCTGTCTCAAAAACAAAAACAAAAAAACAAACCAAAACTGAAAGTTGTTTCATTGCCTCCTTAGCCATCCGGTACCCACAATGGTCAGAAGTATACAGCAAGTACTATTTGGCTGCCTAATGAGTAATAACCCTCTCCCAGAACTCTGTGTCTAGGCCCAAGGGTACTAACCAGTCATCCCCAGGTAGTCAGTCAGCTCCCCGCCTGACAGGCCCTCTAAGGCGTCCAGCATCCAGACAACAGCTGATCTGCAACTCTCCACTAGCCTGACCAGCTCATCTACCTGGAGGAACAAGAGTGAAAAGTCATTCAAGGCCCAAGGGGACCTCTAACTCAGCACACGCCCTAAAATCAAAGCAACCCTAAAGCTCTTCCAAAGGGCAACCTCAGACCGTTCACATTCCTTGATCCCCAGATGGTACCTGACAGTCTTGAGCAAAGTCGTAAACCATCCCAGTGTAGAGATGAAGACCCTGAAAGTGCATCTGAAGCAAAGACTGCTGCTGCTTGGGGGAAATCTCACAGGCCTGAATGAAGAAGGAAGCAGGGAAGTTGGTCTTAAGGCCAAAGACAGTGAGCTGAATACTGCCCAGAGTCCATAAGAGCTGACACAGCCCTGGGAGGACCCCGGGATGATCCCTGCCCTCTTAGGATATTATCAGGCTGCTTCCCAGGCAAAGGCCAGAGCAGCTTACCAAGGAGCCAGAACTTCTAGATCTGGCCAAACACTAGGTTGGTAGTGAGCTCACAGAACCACATCCCCACCCTACCTCTGAGTCGTTAACTCACACTATCATCTCGAAGCTGCCGGAGAAGGGAGCAGTACCGGCCAAGAAAAGCGAAGAGGTTCAGGATGGTATCAGGTCCATAGTGTCTCTTGATGCCTCTCTCTAGGCCTGACAGGAAGAACTGGCAGCTGTCATACAGTGCCCTAAAAGGAGGTGATGGTGCCTTCATACTGTCATTTAGGATAGCTGATGCCTTAATCAAAAGCTGGGTCACTGCCTGGGGTTCTTCTTCCCCAGCCTTCAGCAGTTGTACTCCCAACTGGCATAACTCAAGGCCAGGGGCTAGGCTGGTATTCTTTAGGTAATCATGAGCCTTCTCCACTGCACTGGTGGCCTTGTCATGGTGCTGACTCCAGCAGAGGCGACGACAGTGTTCCAAAGTGAGCTCCAAGAGGCAGAGGGCCCTCTGGGGAGAAAGAGGACCAGGAGAGCTACTGCCCTCACCCACTAAGATTCTGATCACATGCCTTGAGAGCAAGCTGTATAAGAAATCAGCATCAGCTTCATCTAGACCATGCCCACTAGCTTCAAATAGGTGATAAGCAGCCACCACTCGACAAGCAGATGGAGAAGCAAAGTGAGGAACTTCACAAGGAACACTTTCATCTTCCAATAGTACTAAGAAGCCCAAGGCCTTCAGCCGAATTGAGAATGCAGCTCGACGCTCTAACAGTGCTTCTGCTCCCTTCCAGAGCAGAGAAAAGCTGCCCCGAGCCACAGCCTCATAGTCTTGGGGAGCAGCTTGGCGACAGCTCTCTACCAAGCAGTCATGGAGAGGTTGGGCAAGGCAGAACACAGCATCTGGGCTTCCCTGAGATGCAGCATTCCGAAGTAATATGAAGAGAATGCGTTCCAGATAGAGGGGAGGGCGCTGTGGGGTTGACAACAAGTAGCCATCACAGGCCAGCTCTGCTAGCTCCAGCAGACTCCTCAGGTGCTCAGGGCAAGCTAGCTTGGCAGTCAACTGCTGGATGCAGGCCCTCAGGATAGCATCACATACTTGTCTCCTTTCAGCATCAGACCGGCTGCTGGGAAAACTAGTTGGTGATTTTGACAGGAACTCCTACAAAGAGAGAGAGATGAGTGGAGTGAACTAGGAACTAGAAAAGGGTTTCATAGAAGGTCTCCCTGCTTAACTGGCTTCAAATGATGGTAAAACACAAGCCAGGTTTGGTGGCATGGCCTGGGTTAAGGCAGGAGGATCCAAAGACCTGCCTGGGCTTCAGTGAGTTCAAGGCCAGCTGAGGCAACTTAGACCCTGTGTCAAAATAAAAAGTAAAGAGGGGTGGGGGATGTAGCTCAGTGGTGAAGGACTTTCCTAGCATGCATGAGACGCTGGATTCAATCCCCAGTATGGAAGAAAAAGGGGGGAAAAAAAAAAAGGAAACAAAACATAGATCAAACAGCTGATTTCAGAAAGCCAAGTGTGACCTGGGCAAGAAAGCATCCTCACCTTCAAGTCGGGCAGCAGCTCCTGGGCCTCCTTCGGGCTGCTTAGCAGAGAGGCGAAGTTGACTCCTTTGAAGTTCCTCATGGCGTAAGGCTATAGAAAAGGAAACGGATTTTAGAAGGCAGCGCCGATTAGTTCTGGAGCTAACTGGAGTAAAGAAGAGAGACTGAAGGCTGTGGAAGCAGCAAAGAATCCCATCAGAAATCAGATCCGAAAAACCTCTAGCGAGGATGCCGGGCTGCTGTTCTAAACTGACGCGTCCACGCTCCCTTCCTCCAGGTCGCCCGTCGTTCTCACTATGCGACTACCCCACCCCAGAGAGCTCCCCAGAGCTCCTGGGCGCCCCAAGGTCCCTCGAACAAGGATAGAGGTGCCCACGCCTCTCCCAAGTCAGCAAAGGGAACGTCACTCACCTCGGCTTGAGCGCACGGTCACGAGGCCCTCCGTGCCCTACTTCTAAACTCCCGGGTCTTTAAGGTGGAGGAATAACTTCCACCCTAAGCCTCCACTGAGGATCCAAAAAGTAACCTTCGTTTTCCGCGCCAGCCCCTCCTTTCAAATCTTTCCAGTGGCCAATCAGCGACA